TAGTCAGCCACCAATTGTGCAAGTTCTCCCACTTAAAAAGTGAGCGAGGCCTGTAATTGGCATCATAGGTAGACCTCAACTATGAGAGACAAAATGAGAAAACAAATTGTGGTGGTTTATGTAAGGATATATTTTACTTATAAAGGGCGTGTCCCTTTCCCTTAGATGAAATATTACAGTGCCTCCAGCCGTTAAAATACGGCAAATATTTAGTGAACCAATAATTTGGACACCTTGATAATTTGATCACCACTTATTATTATACCTTGAATTCTTTTAGCCAATATGATTTCGTACCATACACACAAAATTTGCCTTATAATAGATAAATATAAAAATTTATTTATGTACAAAAATTATATATATATTAACACAAAACGCAAAAGACTGGTGATAAATGAACATTGGTACACACAATCAAGAATATATCCTACCAATGTAAGACACAATAATAAAGTTTCTAACTAATTACATCAATCACAATTTTTTAATGATCTGATTATTTATTAAATTTATTAATAATTAATAATTTTCGAATATCTCAAAGGTTATATTCTCGCAAGCCGTGGCCATAGGATTGCAAGAAGCAAGCCCTTGATATATGATACTCTGGTTATTAATATTCAATAAATTATGAAATATGAAAAAAATTATAATATGGCAATAAACAATTTTTAACAGTAAAATAGGATTTCTCTACATATATCTAACTACCCAATATTGTTGTGATACACTAAGATAATTTTATGATTCCACACAACAGAGAAAATAGGTTAATACAAAATCAAATAAACATCTCACCACACCCGGAATTCAGACTAGGCAACTCTCCCGTGGATTTAGCTGGCAGTGGAACGCCTTTGGACTGATATATAGGGCAAGTGAAAGATTCTCAGTAGGGGAGAATGTAGGAAGTTATAAGATTAGAGGTTTAGGAATTTAGTTAAAGTTTTAGGAAGTTTTAAAAGATGGAAGAGTAGTTGTTCAGCAGAGATCTTCTTCTTGATCAGGTCTTTCCATGAGGTTTTTATGAGGGTTTTTTTTTTTATCTTAAAGCACAAGGGCTTTTATATCCACTAGTCCATTGTTCTAAGATACCTTCCCACCAGGCTTCCTGATTGGCTAGTTGAGAAATGTGTGTACATAAGCTATTTCTCACCTGCCCGCCAGGTGGCGGTCATGTATCATAGAACAATGTGAGTATTTGAGATGACTCATACCTTGGGTGGAATCTTCAGGTAATTTCAGGAATTAAATATACGGCTCTTTCCAGATATAGCAGTGATCATACCTATACTATTCTAAATAGGGACCATGGAATATAGGTGTATATTCAGTTATTCCTCCTTGAAGTACCATCCTGTTTGTTTCCTGATAAGACATGTAACTAATGCTAGTCTATAATACATCTTACTTCCCATCATCTCAATACTCAAGTTAGTGATATATAGTTCCCATTGCTGAGTATTTAGTGGTGTTTAAAAACTATACCATCTTATTTATAATATGTTTTTGTAGTATATTTTTGTAATTATATACAGTGAACTTTTAGACTTAAATGTCCTGAATTTCACCTTTTTGTTTCAGAATCAACATTTTCTCTGTGTAGGAAAAAAAAACTCTCTGTTTGCCTGGCCCTTGTATTGGACTCATGGTAAACAACTGTTAATGCTTTCACCCTTGGTGAACAATAGTATATGGTAATAGTTTCAGAGGTCTGTTGGTTCATCACACTCTACAAGGTTTGGGTAAGCTCTCAGACAATCAGTTTGGTTCCTCTATTGTCATGTCCAGACCTTGTAATATGTTTACCTGCTTATTGAAGTCTGAATAATGGTGTTTGATCACCTGTAGAACTTCAAAATAGTATTGTCTCTAGGAGGAAAGAAAAACAATCCCTTCACCCATTACATTTCTCTAGCTAGATGGTCATTCGACTTTCCAACCAAGACAAATTAACCCCTTAACATCCGGCTATGCTGACTTGATGTTATATAGGATTATGTCTTGATAAATCATGTTTTTGAGACATAATTCAAAAGCCCACAACAAAAATCCAGACAATCACATTGGCTGATTTGGAAAGAATTTCTTTGCAAATTATGGTGGAAAATAAGTATTTGGTCAATATCAAAAGTTCATCTCAATACTTTGTTAAATATATATCCTTTGTTGGCAATGACAGAGGTCAAACGTTTCCTGTAAGTCTTCACAAGGTTGGCACACACTGTTGCTGGTATGTTGGCCTATTCCTCCATGCAGATCTCCTCTAGAGCAGTGATGTTTTGGGGCTGTCGCTGGGCAACACGGACTTTCAACTCCCTCCAAAGGTTTTCTATGGGGTTGAGATCTGGAGACCAGCTAGGCCACTCCAGGACCTTGAAATGCTTCTTACCAAGCCACTCCTTCGTTGGCCCGGGCGGTATGTTTGGGATCACTGTCATGTTGGAAGACCCAGCCACGTTTCATCTTCAATGCCTTTGCTGATGGAAGGAGGTTTGCACTCAAAATCTCACAATACATGGCCCCATTCATTCTGTCCTGTACATGGATCAGTCGTCCTGGTCCCTTTTGCGGAGAAACAGCCCCAAAGCATGATGTTGCCACCCCCATGCTTCACAGTAGGTATGGTGTTCTTTGGATGCAACTCAGCATTCTCTCTCCTCCAAAAAGTTCTATTTTGGTTTCATCTGACCATATGACATTCTCCCAATCCTCTTCTGGATCATCCAAATGCTCTCTAGCAAACTTCAGATGGGCCCGGACATGTACTGGCTAAGCAGGGTGACACGTCTGGCACTGCAGGATCTGAGTCCCTGGTGGCGTAGTGTGTTACTGATGGTAGCCTTTGTTACGTTGGTCCCAGCTCTCTGCAGGTCATTCACTAGGTCTCCCCCGTGTGGTCCTGGGATTTTTGCTCACTGTTCTTGTGATCATTTTGACCCCACGGGGTGAGATTTTGCGTGGAGCCCCAGATCGAGGGAGATTATCAGTGGTCTTGTATGTCTTCCATTTTCTAATTATTGCTCCCACAGTTGATTTGTTCACACCAAGCTGCTTGCCTATTGCAGATTCAGTCTTCCCAGCCTGGTGCAGGTTTACAATTTTGTTTCTGGTGTCCTTTGACAGCTCTTTGGTCTTCACCATAGTGGAGTTTGGAGTGTGACTGTTTGAGGTTGTGGACAGGTGTCTTTTATACTGATAACAAGTTCAAACATGTGCCATTGATGCAGGTAATGAGTGCAGGACAGAGGAGCTTCTTAAAGAAGAAGGTACAGGTCTGTGAGAGCCAGAAATCTTGCTTGTTTGTAGGTGACCAAATACTTATTTTCCACCATAATTTGCAAAGAAATTCTTTCCAAATCAGCCAATGTGATTGTCTGGATTTGTTTTCTCATTTTGTCTCTCATAGTTGAGGTCTACCTATGATGCCAATTACAGGCCTCTCTCCTCTTTTTAAGTGGGAGAACTTGCACAATTGGTGGCTGACTAAATACTTTTTCGCCCCACTGTGTATATATATATATATATATATATATATATATATAATATATATATATATATTATATATAGTTTTATTTTTTCACTTTGTTTTTGGTTATATAATGGATTGTACCATTGTTTCATGTAGCACAGCATTTTTTCACTTCACATTATGATTGTATAATTTGCCCCACTGAGACATGGGTTGTGTGCACTAGCGGCTACAGTATTTAATTGTAATTTTTTGTTTTTATTTCACCATAGTTAGCTCTTGAGTAATTCAATTTATTTTAGATTTCTTAAGGGTGCCTCTGAGTGTAGACTGTGAACCATTTATTGTACAGACCGTAATATGAGTAACCCATATTTGGTAGGATAAAAACGGCAATAAGTCCATTTCTGGTAAGTCCGAGTACACTGTCCATGCTGTAGGTGTGAAGCCGCCGCTTGTCTGGATCCCAAGAGCTGGCTATGTATGGGGGAAGAGTCAGAAGTGAGGGCTGGAAAGCTTGTGAAGTGCAGCGTTGGGTGTGATGACGTCACTGGACGTATCACAGCAAGTTTCCGAGCATGTGCACTGAGAATGACCTGTCAGGTACACTCCTTTGTCAAGCATTGACATTGACTTTTAATGCCTGTTTTATCCCACCAAATGTGAATTGCTCATTTTACTATCGCTACCATAAATGGTTAACAGTCTTCCGTGTTTATTTGAAACTACATGTAAGTCTAAGACTACCCTGTTCACAGTTGACAACTCTGTTGCATGTCTAGGGGTGGACACAGAACCTATACTCACTCCGGAAAACTGCATTCCCCCATGTACACTGGTGGACTGTTACTGCTGTCCTCATGATGTTAGAAACACTCCATTACACAAGACCGCTAGACCTCGGGGGAAGGGGGTTGGGCAGGTGTGTCAGGGACCAGTCTCGCACTGGGGAGATCAACATATTAGGTGACTATATCTCAGCTTTCCAATCCCCTAGACAAAAATGAGCAGCTAACCCATGCAGTTTGGGCACAGCCCACTAAATGGAAAAACATTTCCCAGAGTTCTTCTTTAAAGGAAGTGGAGGACCAAAAGGTAACAAAACTATTAAGGGGGACTCAGAAAAACAAAGGCTGCTGTGTTATCCTAATGACAGATTATAATATATATCTCCTTTTTTCTTTTTTGCGTACAACCCAGTAATCGGTATGACTACTGTAAACCAGATTTCAAGCTGTTAAGTCAGATTTACCCATTCCTACTTAGAACTTTTTATTTTTTAACATTGTGACTTCGTGCACAATAAACATATAGAGCAGGGGTCTCCAAACTATGGCCCTCCAGCTGTTGAAATACTACAAGTCCCATCATGCCTCTGGGTGTCTTGCCTGTGGCTGTCAGAGCCTTTCAATGCCTCATGGGACTTGCAGTTCCTCAACACTGGAGGGCTATAGTTTGGAGACCCCTGATATAGAGGATATGTTGTGATGCCTTTTTTTTTTTTTTTTTTTTTTTTACATTACAGATTTGATGAAGTATATTATGGCCAGTTTATATCCATGTATATGAAAGGTATATTCTTCTTGGATGACAGCGGACCCCCCCTAGGACACATGCTTTTAGCGTTAGGAGGTAAGCAGAATCGCTAATAACAATGACATCACATTATTGTCAGTATTCTAAGCCGACTGTGTTGTAAAAAAGAAAAAAAATTATAATTTAAAGGAAAATCAGTCTGTTAAAGACAAGACCATGCTTCTCAGTCCTGCCACCAGTGGAAGGAATATTCTCTTTCTTGCAAAACTGCATCCACTGTTGGTATCGTCCGCATTTGAAACTTCCTGGTGTGTGTCGAATGCCCACATCCTCCATTGCACACTGTGGTTAAGCCTGCTGGGCACTGTACCACTAGTGTCCTCCGGCAGCTTTGTAGGGGCACATTAGTCAAATCAGTAGTTCTGCCACTAGCTCTTGCAGAGCTAGAGTGCTGTGTACTCCAGTGAGGATCTGTCTTCCTTTGTGACCCCTTCTGTCAGGGTGTATGTTGGCACCCAGCAGTTTTATACATCCCACGACTAATGGCTTAACCACTTGCGGACCAGCAGCGTACCCGTACGTTGCTGGACTTCAAGCAGTTATACTGGGGTGATGCCTGCAGCTGCAGGCATCACCCCAGTACCATTTCTTAGACCTGGCGGTCCGCTCTCTCTTGTAAAAGCAATCAAGACAGCTAAGTAGCTGCTCGATTGCATTTACAAGCAGCAGGAGGGGACGTACAAACCCCCCCCCTTCCGGCTGCTCTCGGGATCCCCTGTCCCACTAGGAGACCCAAGCGACCAGCTGGCATGTCCGCCAGCTGGCTGGACAGCCGAACAAATCTGGGATCAGCTTTGATTGGTTGACTGTCCACTATAGTAACCCGAAAGCAATGACCTGACAGCACTTCCAGTTTACTCTGAACTGAACGGCGCTAATTTTAAAAATCAAATGCATTTTAAAACACAAATCTTGGTGTTTTTTATGCTTTTAAGTGCAGAGGTGGGATATGGGGTCTTATTAGCCCCAGATCCCTCCATAAAGAGTACCTGTCACATGCCTATTGTTGTGGATGTTTACATTCCTTGTGACAGCAATAGAAGTGATACAAAAAATTAAAAGAAACAAAAGTTTAAAGAAAAAAAAAAACAATTTAGAGAAAAAAATTTAATATGCCACCTGTACCCCCATGCTCGTGCGCAAAGGCAAACTCATGCGTAAGTCCTGCACACACTTATACAGCTATCGTCCCACACATGTGAGATAGCACTGTGAACTGCAGGTCATGGGCAGTAATTCTAGCACTAGATCTCTTCTTCTGTAAATCTAAAGTGGTAATCTTTAAAAAATTTTAAAGCGTCACCTATGGATAATAAAAATGTTTGTAATTTGTGCAATTTTAAAGCGTGACATGTTTGGTATCTATTTACTCTGCGTTTATATTTTACAAAAAAATTGGGTTATGTATTGTAATTTTTTTATGAAAATATTTTTTTCCCCAGACAATTGCATTTAAAAAAACCACTGCACAAATATCTTGTGACATAAAAAATTGCAAAACCCACCATTTCATTTTCTAGGACCTCTGCTTTTAAAAATGTATAATGTTTGGGGGTTCTAATTTCCTAGCAAACAATTTAGATTTTTACATTTAAAGAAAAGTGCCAGAAAAAGGGCTGGATGTTAAGTAGTTAAAGAGTTAGTTTTTATTCCCGCCATGAAATCTTACTCTAGTTGGTTGAAATTATTCAATATGTTTTTATGGAACTAGCGTACATGCATGTGTCTGTATGTCTGCATTTTCACTTTTTCTATCTTTTCTTTTTTTGTAACCATTTTTTCATTCTCACTAGGATATCTTGGCGGTTTTGATGGTAACTTCATGTGGAACAGAATTGGGGCAGGTAGGATGCAAGGCACAATAGTCCAGCAATGGTAACTAGGACCCTTTTTGTGTGGGGAAACACATGGCACAACCGTGACATTTTCACAAGTTTGTGATTGCTACAATTCTGCAATGCATTGCTCATGCTTTCATTCGCACTTGACGCTCATGCAATAAACATAAATGTCATCCAGAACATCTGACTTAATTGTAGTGACCTGGAGCAGATATTGGGAGATGATTTTCATTTTTCTGTTTACGTTAGGTTTTTATTGAGGTTTACAAACTTGAACAAAGCACTTCCATACACAGGTTACATTTCCTTCCAAAATAGGCATGACAGGTCTTTACAATTGAATATATAGAATAGAAACGTATTGGAGTGTTGGGGGGGGGGGGGGGTGGATTTACCAAAACTGGAGCAGACAGAATTTGGAGCAGATGTGCATGGTAACCAGCTACAGCTTTCAATGTCCAGTTCTTCAGTTAAGCTTTGAAAGGAAAAGCCTGAAGCTGATTGCTATTCACTTTAACCTCCCTAGCGGTATGATTATTTCAGATTTTTGGTGCTGAAAGCGGTACCATTATTTTGCATGGAAATATGTCGTTTTTTTATTGTAGGCTGTAATTTTTAGGAATAACTCACTGAAATCTGTCCGAACAAGAGTCTATTAAACATCCCGGGTATGATAAAATTTGAAACCCGAAATCATAAATTATAATTTAATAAATAATCATAAAAAATAATAATATAATAATAATAATAATAATAATAATACATGTAATGCAATAATATAATCAAACCAAAAACACTGAAATTTGAAATATAGCGCCAGGTTCGCACATCACTGAGCAAAGTCGCAGAATCGTTTTCAGTGTCTGATGACGAATTTCCCCACAAATCATTATCACTCAATTCTGCAAGTGGTTCTGATTTACTATCGCTGTTCTCTAGCTGATCTAAACCCGCTTTTGACCTAAAGGGACGCTTTTTGGATGCCATGGACTTTTCTAAGTTTCCAGGCAGAAAGAACAGTCAAAATGCGGGGACAGGACAAAGCACTCGGGACAAAATGTATGTGAAATGGTTTGAAACAGCAATGTTTTACTATGTAAAATTAGTTTAGAAAAAAATGACGTTTTTTAAAATTTCCCGCCGGTTCCAGCGCCTGTACGTCCTGACGTCACCGGGACCGGAACACAGAATCCGGAAGCCCGGGGACGCTGCAGGGGACACATTGCGGGAGCGAAGGACAAGGTAAGCTCTGCAGGGAATCCCTATGCAGTGCCGCATGGTAAGCTCGAGTGTAGCTCGGGGGTTACCGCTTTTGGTACTGAAATTTTACCCTGAGCTACACTCGGGAATACCGCTAGGGAGGTTAAGGCCATCACAGAGGACAAGGGGAACTCTTTATGTCTGGAGAAAAGACAGAAAGGTTTCTTCACAGTAAGAGCTGTGAAAATGTGGCATAGACTCCCTCAAGAGTTGATTCTGGCCAGCTCAGTGGATTGCTTTAAAAAATGCCTGGATTCTTTCCTAGATACACAGAATATAACTGGATACTAACACTTATTGGTAAAGTTGATCCAGGGAATATCTAATTCGATTGCCTCTTTGGGGATCAGGAAATAATTTTTTTCCCCTGCTGCAGCAAATTGGATCAACCTTTAATGGGTTTTTTCCTTCCTTCTGTGGGTATAGGACTGTACATATAGGACTGTATAACTTTTTTTTTTTTCCCCCTTATATTGGTTGAACTAGATGGACTTGTGTCTTTTTTCAACCAGACTAACGATGTAATAGTTTTTTTATATACCTGACATTTTTTTTCTCTCTTCTGTTCTGTAGTATCTATGTACTGCACTGATGTGTTTTTATTTTCTCTGTAGAATACACTAGCAATGTCCCTGTTTGGACCCTTCGTCTACTCCCAGCTGTGTCTGGAGGACTGTGTGTTCCGCTGGCATATCAGATAGTACTGGAGCTTGGATTCTCTACACTGGCGGGACTGATAGCTGCTATTTTGGTTTTGTTGGGTGAGCTTTTCTTTGTGTTTTTTTTTTTTTTTTTTTTGTACCAATATGTCAGTTTATTTTATGTGCTCTCTGCTTATTTGAATTACTGTATCTTATCAAAACCTAACAGAGTGGAGTGGAGGGACAAGTTCTAGCAAACAGGTGAGGATAAGACTTGGTTCCAGATGAAATGTTTGAAGGTGAAGTGTGGTTCTTGTTGGGAGATATAGAGGTTAGGCTTGTTCCTAGGTCAGAAGTGTGTGGTTGAGGACCTCAGCCCAATTTCTGTATGGAAAAGCACTTTGGCCTGGCAGGTAAATGTGCAGGAATTCAAAAATGTCTCCTTATACTTTGTTCTAGAAAATGCTCTAATCACCCAGTCACGACTGATCCTGCTGGAACCTGTCCTCATCTTCTTCATTCTTCTGACCTTCCTGTCATACCTCAAGTTTCAGAGTTACCAGCAGAGCAGGTGAGCAAAAGAAGAAAACTAACGTTTTGCATTACTTTGACCTACCATAAAGTAAATCTGTCCCCAGATCATACATACCAAAGTATTTATATAATCTGACCAAACAGTAAAAGCCCTTTAAACAAGTCCTCATTCATATCTGATTCTTTAGGCATTATAAAGAAATGAAAGTGGTCAGAAAAACAAAAATATTTTTTGTTTTGAAGCTTACCAGTGCATAGTTGTCATGACTGCATTAGTTTTCTTTTTATTAAGCTTTTTACCTTAATTCTTATTTGTGAATCACTTTCTTTAAAGAGTAACCACTTTTGTTGAGAAATAAACATTCCCTTCTGGGTGTTCTACTGTATGTACATTGCAAGAATTTTAACAAACTTTGTTGCAGATTCCTACCTTTTATTATTCTGAAGAAATAGCTGTTTGTGTCCATGTGCAATGTGAATGGGAGTGACTCTATAATTATCAGCTGCTGAAATTGCAAGAATCTAATGAGGAAAGTTGGAGGGTCCGTATGCCTCGTAGATGTTATTTCTCTTTGGGAGTATCAGAGTATCTAACCATAAGTTGCACATATTCCACCCGTGTACAGAACGCTGTCAGGTTGCCATATTGCATTGCATTTTTTCAGAAAATTACAGCACTGCAGATTGAAAAGATAAGGTTTTTTGAGTAAAGTTGGCTATCGATGGTTCGAATTTCGCCCAGTTCAGCAGGGACTGGCCAAGATTCAAACCATGTATGGGCAGGCTGATTGTACGATTATTGTAGATTATTGTACGACTTTGGTACAACCAGCATATCAGCTTGTGATTATTGTTAATGGCTATTATAGCCAGTAGTAGTAATCACTGTGTTCATCCAAAAGGGACCCATTCCCCCTATTCCTATGCCGGGAGAACACAATAGCTCTGTGGTTGCAGGAAAGAAATTTGCATGTATGGCTTGCCTAACATTTAATTACAGTATGACTTGTATAGGAAATTGTGTGTGTATGTATGTATGTATATATGTATGTACATACATACGATATAAAAAAGTCTAAACCCCCCCCTGTTAAAATGTCAGGTTTATGTGATGTAAAAAAATGAGGCAAAGATAACTAATTTCAGAACTTTTTCCACCTTTAATGTGACCTATAAAAACTGTACAATTCAATTGAAAAACAAACTGAAATCTTTTTGGGGGGAGTAAACATAAAAAACTAAATTAATGTGATTGCATAAGTGTGCACACCCTCTTTTATAACTGGGGATGTAGCTGTGTTCAGAATTAAGCAATCACATACAAAATCATGTTAAATAGGAGTCAGTACACACCTGCAATCATTTAAAATGCTTCTGATTAATCCAGAATAAAAGTTCAGCTGTTCTAGTAGGTCTTTCCTGACATTTTCTTAGTCACATCCTACAGCAAAATCCATGGTCCGCAGAAAGCTTCCAAAGCATCAGAAGGATCGCATTGTTAACAAAAGGTATCAGTCAGGAGAAGGGAACAAATGAATTTCCAAAGAATTAGATATACCATGGAACACAGTGAAAACAGTCGTCATCAAGTGGAGAAAATATGGCACAACAGTAACATTACCAAGAACTGGACGTCCCTCCAAAATTGATGAAAAAAATGATAAGAAAACTGGTCTGGGAGGCTGCCAAGAGACCTACAGCAACATTAAAGGAGCTGCAGGAATATCTGGCAAGTACTGGCTGTGTGGTACATGTGACAACAATCTCCCGTATTCTTCATATGTCTGGGCTATGGGGTAGATTAGCAAGACAGAAGCCTTTTCTTACGAAGAAAAACATCCAAGCCCGGCTAAATTTTACAAAAACACATCTGAAGTCTCCCAAAAGCATGTGGAAAAATGTGTTATGGTCTGATGAAACCAAGGTTGAACTTTTTGGCCATAATTCCAAAAGATATGTTTGATGTAAAAACAACACTGCACTTCAAAAGAACACCATACCCACAGTGAAGCATGGTGGTGGCAGAATCATGCTTTGGGGCTGTTTTTCTTCAGCTGGAACTGGGGCCTTAGTCAAGGAAGAGGGAATTATGAACAGTTCCAAATACCAGTCAATATTGGCACAAAAACTTCAGGCTTCTGCTAGAAAGCCGAAAATGAAGAGGAATTTCATCTTTCATCATGACAACAACCCAAAGCATACATCCAAATGAACAAAGGAATGGCTTCACCAGAAGAAGATTAAAGTTTTGGAATGGCCCAGCCAGAGCCCAGACTTGAATATGATCGAAAATCTGTGGAGTGATTTGAAATCTGTGGGGTGACATGCTGATAGACTCATACCCAAAAAGACTGAGTGCTGGAATCACATCCAAAGGTGCTTCAACAAAGTATTAGTTTAAGGGTGTGCACACTTATGCAACCATATTATTTTAGTTTTTTATTTTTACTTTCCTCCACCTAAAAGATTTCAGTTTGTTGTTCAACTGAGTTGTACAGTTTATAAGTCACATTAAAGGTGGAAAAAGTTCTGAAATGATTTATCTTTGGCTCATTTTCTTACATCACAGAAACCTGACATTTTAACAGGGGTGTGTAGACTTTTTATATCCACTGTATGTATGTATGTATGTATGTATGTGTGTGTATATGTGTATATATATATATATATTTGTTTTATATTTTTGCTCTTTGTCTTGCTTTGTCAAGTGTAGGGTAGGCAAATCACTTAAAGGTTAACTCCACTTTCATGTGGGGAAAAAAATTGCAAATTAAAAAAAATAAATGAATAATAAAAAAAATAGTGTTTTTATTATATATATATATATATATATATATATATATATAATATACAATTGTGACACAAGTCATAGTGTAAGTGAATGCCTCTCTCTCTTCCCATATGTCTTCAGCATAGATGCCCCCCACTGAAAAAAAAAAGTTCCCCTCCTCCAATCTCTTATCCTAGCACAAATTACCCCCCCCCCCCCCAAGAAAAAAAAAAATTCTCTCCTAGCACAAACCCCCTCTTCCCTCTACCATATCACCTTTTCTAGCACATATCCCTCCTCCTAGCACAAATCATCTTCCCACTCACCCCCCTCCTCCCTCCCAACACAAATCCACCCAAACACTTCTACCACACCTTAAATTTCCCCTCCTAGAACAATTCTAAACTCTTGCCACCCACCAAATTCCCTCTCCCAACACAAATCCCCTCCCCCCAGTCTACTCATGGTGTCCCCGCACCTCTTGTGCCAGCCCTGGTCAGAGGCATATGTGCCAGGGTGACAACTGAAAAGCACAAGTGGTAGACAGTTGTCCCCCAATAACAGAAGGTGCCTAAACTAAGAGCTTCATGTTTCGATCACTAGAAATTATTATAATGAATGCTGCAGATTTAAATACACTAAGGGCTCATGTACACTTCAGCAGTAAGGGGGTGGGAAAACAACACGAGTAAGCCACATTTTTACCATCCCTCAACTGCTTCCCCTTTAGCTGCAAAGACAGTGGCCAGAGGTGTACACATGCTGTGACAGGAATTATACCCCGTGTCATGCTTGGCGGGCACTGCCAAACAACCCCCATTCAAGTTAATAGGGCTTTGCTGCAACCGCACACAATGCACATGGTGGTAGTGTGGCATTTAGGTGATTAAAACTGACAGTGTGTAAATAACTCCTCACCTCCTGGAAATGCCTCTAAAATTAGATCTGAGCGTAGATCGCTTTTCAGAGGAGCAGCAGTCCTTTGCCACTAGTGTAAAGTCTAAAAACAACTTTAGGGATTATATTAACATTTTAAAGCTGATAGGTTTTAGTGATTGGATTCAGATACACTTGAAAAATCTGAGGCCACAGGATACATAGATAAATTATAACAGTGGTTTCCTCTTTCCAGTCCTTTTTCCAGGTCTTGGTGGTTCTGGCTGGTGTTGACTGGTGTTTCCTGCACGTTTGCTGTGGGGTAGGTTGTATTTTGAGTTTACCTTTCTCATATCTGTCCCTTATATGAGCCTCCTCTAACACTCATCTCCTGCTCTCAGGGTGAAGTACATGGGTCTCTTCACTTATCTTCTGATTCTCGGGATAGCTGGAGTCCACAGCTGGCAGCTGATTGGTGACCGCAAACTCTCCAATGTGTGTACTTGTGTTGTCGGCTCAGTGACTGTGCGACTTCAGCAATTCCTTTATCTCTTCTTCCTCTCTTGCAGATGTCAGTGGTGTTTCATCTGGGAGCTCGCTGCCTGGCTCTTCTGCTTGTACCTGCAGCTCTTTACCTGGGAACCTTCTATATACACCTCTCCATACTGACTCACTCCGGGCCCCATGATCACATTATGAGCAGTGCATTCCAAGCTAGTCTGGAGGTAGATGTGTTTCTTGGAACTGTTGGTGTACACACTCTTTAGACCAGCCTTTCTCAAACTGGGTTCAGTGGAACACCTGGGTTCCTCAATAGGTTGCTAGGGGTTCCTTGAACAATGGTCAATTTCTGCCTCTCAGATATATAGCCCCTGCCATCAGAGATCTTTTCCTATTGACCACCAATGTTAGGAACATTCTTCCCACTGATACTCGGGCTCCTTGAGACCTGAAGTTACTTCAAGGTTCCAGCATGTTTAAAAGGTTGAGAAATGCTACTGTAGACTATAGGCCTGTAAACATTTGGTAGTCCTTCTTGTCCAATACACAAGAGCTGTTATTAGGAGCGAGTTACCTTCTAGGACAGAGTCTCTCAACCTGTTATCAGTCATTGCACCCTTTAAAATGATAGACAGTCCCGAGACACTCAGTTTTTCTCCATCACTCAACTAATGTGACCCCATCACTGACGGAGATTGGCAGGGGAGAGTCCAACAAGGATGTTGTGCAGGCAACCGACATCCTCCTTACCAACTGATGATGTCATTGGTTTTCAGGACCCCAGCGGCTAAAAGGTCGTATTGGTGCACAATGAAAACCTGTGGCTTTGAGTAACTAAAAGGCAGGCTTGTTCCACCCGCTGGCTTGTATACAAGTTTTGGGCAATTTTTAGACATTTTGTCAAGGCACCCCTGAAGAAACGTCAAGGCACCCCAGGGTGCCTAGGCACCCTGGTTGAGAAAAGGCTGTTCTAGGATAACAGAGCATGAACACCTGAGGTACCAAAGCAATGGCTGTTTCTTGTGGCCCCTCATTGACGGCCTGCTAATATTGACTGTTCTAGAGGTAAAATCAGACATTTAAAGCTGAACTCCGGGAAAAAGTTTTTTTTTTTACTTAGGGCAGACTGGGGAATGTTTAGAACCTATTTCAGTTTTTTGTTTGCAGCCTGTGTGCCCATTTGAGTGATTTACCCCCACTTCCTGACTGGAAACATTGGGAAATCTCCCCAGTTGGGACACAGACCAAAGCCAAACCGTTTTAAGTAAAATGGGGAGGGGTCAGGACCTCTACTGTCTGTGTTTCCTGTTCCTTTGACAACTGGAATTTGCTATGATACTTAGCACCATCTAATGGCCAATTGCAGTGCTTTCTCTTTCAGATCAAAGAAAAACATTCAGCCTGCATCCATTTGCACAGAACAAATGTACATGCAGTTTTACTGGGTGAATGGCTATGCAGATTGTTTTCTATAAATACACCCCTAATGTTCTAGTGTGAAGGCACATTAGCATTTGAGGTTTTAATGTGAAGCCGTACTGACACCTGAGGTTGTAGAATGAATTTCTAAATGTAAAATAATGCACTTAGGGAAAAAGAATCTGTTTGAAGAGTACAACATTGGGGTACATTGTTGGCCAGCACTACAAAGGAAAAGGACTTGGGGGTACTTTTTTCAGATGATTGCATAATGAGCAAACAGTGTGGCCAGGCAATGGGGAAAGTGAATAGAATTCTAGGATGCATCACAAGAGGGGACACTGGAGGATGAAGGAGGTCCTGATTCTCCTATATAGATCTTTAGTTATCACTAGAGGGGTCACCAGCAGGAGGAAAGAGGTCCTGATTCCCCTATATAGATCTATAGTTATCATTAGAGGGGTCACCAGCAGGAGGAAGGAGGTCCTGATTCCCCTATATAGATCTTTAGTTATCACTGGAACGGTCACCAGCAGGAGGAAGAAGGTCCTGATTCCCCTATATAGATCTTTAGTCATCACTAGAGGGGTCACCAGCAGGAGGAAGGAGGTCCTGATTGTCCTATATAGATCTTTAGTTATCACTAGAGGGGTCACCAGCAGGAGGAAAGAGGTCCTGATTCTCCTATATAGATCTTTAGTTATCACTAGAGGGGTCACCAGCAGGAGGAAGGAGGTCCTGATTCCCCTATATTGATCTTTAGTGAGACCTCATTTAGAGTACTGTGTCCAGTTCTGGAGACCTCACTTACAAGAAGGTATTGATAAGACAGAACGAGTCCAGAGACAGGTAACAAAAATGGCGAAAGGCTTGGGGGATAAAACATATCAGGAGAGACTTCAGGAACATAATATCTACAGTCTGGAGAAAAGAAGGGAAAGGGGAGATATGACTGAAACCTTTAAATACATCAAGAGGGTGAATAAGGTTCAGGAGGGCAGCATTTTCAACATGAAACCAAAATCAAGAACATGGGGAGATGATCTTAAACTAACTGGAGGAAAGTTCAAAAATAATCTGAGAAAGTATTATTTTACTGAAAGAGTAGTTGATGCTTGGAATAAACTTCCAGCAGAGGTACTGAGCCAGTCATCAGTAAATGGGTTCAAACATGCTTTGGACAAACATAGATCTATACTCAGACAAAGTTAACAAAAACAAAAAAAAAAAAAAGAAATTGTGTAAAAAAAATGAAAATAAAACAACTCGATGGACTGCTCGATCTTTTTTTTTCTTCCATCACTTTTTTTATGTTTCTATGAATTTTTTTCATGATATGCAGTAAATTTATAGACATTATTCCTGAATTGTTAATCCTGTTAATTTCTTGTTTTCAGGGAGGTCTGTCACGGATTACTCAGGGGCAACCACTAGAGGTGGCATATGGCTCCCAGATCACCCTCCGGAACACCTTTGGTAAACCAGTGCCTTGCTGGCTGCACTCACACAAGAACCCTTATCCAGTAATGTGAGTATATATAGGTGTATGTGCATAGGAGAAAGGGGCGCAAGTGTAAAGCTAAAACTGCCCATACTGTGGCGGTCGGACCATCAAGCACATTCTTGGCTGCAAGTGTCCTAACCTGCAGCAATTTTGGCTATCCACAAAATATCCAAATTGGCAAACCATGGCACTTAGTGTGAGGGTTGAACATCCATTTCATATAAGGGACAATATATAAGAAGTTATGCAGTTAAACAAATACACATGCCAAGAATTGACCCTGTAGGACTAGATCTTTTAATCTGGTTGTTTGATATCCAAGAGATCATTTTGTCAGCTTGTAAAGCTGTTGACAACATGTACATACTGTAAGTTATTTATTAGCAGGTAGATAGTTAGATACATCTCTATCATTACTTACATACATATCATAATTCAAACAGAATTATAGAAAATCAGCAATCCTTTCATTTGACCTTTTATCCCGTATGAGGTCAAAATGTAAAAAATACTTTTCATAAATCTTGGGCACAAACCATGAGTAAAAAAACTATTTCGCTTGGAACCCTAAACTCCACATACACATTTTTTCGGACATCAGGATTAAAGCAGTACTAAAATGAAAATGCTAAGTCTGTTTATTAGCTAGCCCCCTTACCCCTCAAATGAAAGACAATAGGTTCAAGCCAAAAAAGTAAGGATAAGTAAAAAAAACAAAAACCTTACGGTGGGGAAAATAATTATTTGATCCCTGCAGATTTTGTAAGTTTGCTCACTAACAAAGCAATGAAGGGTCTATAATTTTTATCATAGGTGTATTTTAAAAATTAGAGATTATCAACCAACAATCCAGAAAAAACACACGATACAAATGTTATACAGTGAGTTGCAGTTCAGTGAGTAAAATAAGTATTTGATTCCCAAGCAAAATATGACTTCGTACTTGATAGAGAAACCCTTGTTGACAAGCACAGAGGTAAGACGTTTCTTGTAGTTGGTTACCAGGTTTGCACACATCTCAGGAGGGATTTTGGTCCACTCTTCTGTACAGATATCTAAATCCATAAGGTTTCTTGGCTGTCGCTTGGCAATTCCAAGTTTTAGCTCCCTCCATAAATTTTCTATAGGATTAAGGGCTTGGCACTGGCTAGGCCACTCTATGACCCTAATGTGTTTCTTCTTGAGCCACTCCTTTGTTGACTTGGCGGTATGTTTTGGGTCATTGTCATGCTGGAAGACCCATCCAGGACTCATCTTCAGTGTTCTGGCTGAGGGAAGAAGGTTCTCATCCAAGATTTTACAATACATGGCCCCATCCATTGGTCCCTCAATGCGGCAAAGTTGGCCTGTACCTTTAGCAGAGAAACAGCCCCAAAACATAATGTTTCCACCTCCGTGCTGGACTGTAGGGATGGTGTTCTTAGGGTCATAGTCAGCAATTTTCTTTCTCCAAACATGGCAAGTCGAGTAAATGCCAAAGAGCACAGTTTTGTTCTCATCTGACCACAGCACTTTCTCCCAGTTCTTCTCTGAATCATTTAGATGTTCATTGGCAAACTTCGGATGGGCCTGTACATGTGCCTTCTTGAGGGGGACCTTGCGGACACTTCCGGATTTCAATCCATGGCGGCATTTTGTGTTACCAATGGTTTGTTTGGTGACTCTGGTCCCAACTGCCTTGAAATCATTCACGAGCTCCTCACGTGTAGTTCTGGGCTTACCCCTCACTTTTCGCATGATCATCTGTTACCCATGTGGCGAAATCTTGCATGGAGCTCCAGCTCCAGACCGAAGGCAATTGATGGTTATTTTGTATTTCTTCCATTTGCAAATAACTGCTCCAGACAGTTGTCTCTCTGTAAAGAGTGTTTATAGACCCTTTAAGGAAGGATTTGCTGTCTGTAGCCTTTTGCTCTGTAGGATGTTAGCTTTTAATTCAGTCAAGCCTTTGTATAAACACCAAGTGGATATTTTCTATTGATTACAGTTTATGTACACTTACTGGATTATAGAGAGAGATGGCAACACATAAGCCATTGTTCCTTGTTGGGCACCTCTCATCTTGTGTGTGCTGAACACTGTTGTACCCTTTTGTTCAGGTACGAAGGAGGACGTGGGAGTTCACACCAGCAGCAGGTGACCTGTTATCCCTACAAAGATGTCAATAACTGGTGGATTGTCAAGGACCCATCCCGGTAACCACACCATAATCATATTGTGACAGCTGTTTGATCAATATGAACTAAAAGAAATGCTGATAAATTTCTGTATCGTGTTTTGCCAGACAGGAAATGGTTGTCAACTCACCGCCGCGTGCTGTCCGGCACGGAGACACCATACAGCTGCTGCATGGCATGACAGCTCGATTCCTCAACACGTATGTGTCGAAGCGTTACCTCTGTTTAATTGTATGTATCCATACAGTATAGGGCTTTTTATGATGCTACAGAAATATGTGGCATGTTGCTGAGTTTTGCCTTAAAGCTGGAGAATGGTTAAATCATAAAACAACAAATCAAGCTATGTATTTATTTAACAAGTGTACATATCTGAACTTGTCCTGATGTCAGATTCATGTAAGCTTCTTGACAGCAGCACTTGGACTTGAAGTGGCAGCAACTAGAAGGCAGCCATTGATTCATGTGCTGGTAGTCAATATGCTGTCAAGAAAAGAAAGAAGAGTAAGTATAGCTGATAACTCCTCCATGTACTGTGGCTACTTCATGGTCCAGTTGGCAGGTTAGGGTTGTGATACTGACCATGCAGTTCAGCTGCTGCTTTAGTGAAGGTAAAGGATCTGACAGTGCTCTCTCACTAAGGTCTGGATCATTTGATTATCAGTACAGAATAAACCAATCCAATGGCACGTAAAACATCACTCATATACAGTATGTATGTCCACTGGGTATTGAGCTACTTGGTTCCGTTCAGTTTTAATAAACAATAATTCAGTGTATGTTGCTATCCCCTAGAAACTCCCATACTAGACTAATTATTGTAAATACAAGCTCGGTCTGGGTTGAAACAGAGAAAAATTTGCCATAGTTATGCAAGCTATTAATTGACTTCTCTTTTCAGACATGACGTGGCTGCCCCTCTTTCACCATATTCCCAAGAGATCTCCTGCTACATTGATTATAATATTTCAATGCCAGCTCAGACACTATGGAAGGTGGTGAGTGTCACCATTTTGTCTCACTTTATTACTTTGATGTAGGAAAGGTTCCCATTTAATGTTATCATGTGGGTAGACCTATTTGTGGATATTGATGAGGGAAGCTGCACTGATGTGTCGGGTATATGACTTTGAGTTGACACTTTATCCCATCTTTGTTATTGAATTCCTTTTTATTGCTTACAGGAGATTGTAAACAGGGAATCTGACAGGGACACATGGAAAACCATCTTGTCCGAAGTCAGACTTGTTCATGTGAATACAACTGGAACATTGAAGGTATGAAAATAGAGATACATTAGAAATTATGAAATTGGAACTGCAGTGGCAAAAAGCGATGAACTGAAATATGGGTGTACTGTCAGAGAACCTGTCATTTGAGAATTTTCAGTGGGGCAGTGGTGAAGACCTACAGACATGCACACATTCACTAAACTGACTGTAGGTAGCCAGGCTGAACAAAGGTTTTTCTTGCCTGCCCAAAGATGTGGAAGAAGTGTTCATCATTTCTACAACCAGTGTATCAGTAAGGCAGGCCACAGACTATGCTATTTTCTTTCTTGCAAAAATTTATACAACAATCAAATTGGGTACAGTAAGCCTTTCCTTAGATCGAGGGTCAGCAACCAGTGTATCGTGGCCAGGTGACTGGTAGATCTCAGTCTGGGCTTGCTGACATGCCATCCCAGAGAATCAAACAGAGTGCAATGCAGAGAAACTATTTGTAAGGTTGGAGCTGTAGTCTGGAGCAGGAGCCGTATAAGTTGATGTTTCCTCTGTCGTGTTGCTTCTACGCCATGTCATGGTTGATGGGTGTAGCACCTGCCATGCATGACCCATTCAAGTGAATGAGGCTACTCTGCAATTGCCCTGCAACCTTGTGCAGTACAGCAAACAAGGGGTTAAACATGCAGCAGTGTGTTGCTTTCTCACCACCTACTTTTAAGCCCTTGGACCCCGCAGAAGCATGCAGCTGCAGAGCACTTGCAGAGTGTACGGCAATTAAGGGTTTAAATCAGGTGTGAAGAGGCAACACTGTGCCTGGTGATCTTTGACTTCTCACAAGTTGTTCAGGTAGATCTCCACCTCATTAAGGTTGCCTACCCCTGCCCTAGAGTTGTTCGAATCTCTGCCGGTTCCTGCTGAACCGGCCGAGATTCTAACCTTCTACCCATCAATGGCCACCTTAAGACTAGCTGCAGTGTTCTATGTCACTTCCTCTGTCCCCTGCTGTGCATGAGTACCAAAGCACTGGAAAGGTCCTCCCCTGTGTCCCCTTACTAGTGTACTACTATTCTTATTTTATAGGATTTATATAGCACCAACAGTTTTTGCAGAGCATTACAACATGTGGGCTGACAATTCAGTTACAATACTATTCAATACAGTAGGAATCAGAGGGCCATGCTCATTAGAGCTTACAATCTAGTATGGTCAAAAGATAATAACTGCGGGAGATGAGCTGATGGAGAAAATACAGTCTAATTGGCCAAGCTTACAGCGATTAACGCTCTTAGAGCCCATTCACATCGGTGCACTTACAAATGTGGTATGAGTTTTTCATATATCACATTTTTAATGTTCTTTTAATGCGTTTTTGGTGCACTTTCTGGTTTCCTGAATCCCAGCATGCACCTGTGAAACATGGACACGTGACTTCAAAAACACACCAAACGTGGTACGTTTTTGGTGCACTTTTAAAAAAATTGCACCAAAGATGCACCATGCAGGAATTTTCAAAATGCAGCGTATATGAACAATTACATAGGCAAATGCGCAAAGTGTGAAATGGGTTCCTAATGTGCAGAAAATTATGGAAGTTGATACAAAGATTTCAGATAATAATATTAAGATTTTAAAACGTTAGGGATGCACTGATACCCTTTTTTGATCTACGAGTACCGATACTTTCAGTCAAGTACTCTCCGATACCGAGTGATATTTGCAAAAACACATAATTTTTTTTTTTTTTTTTTTTACATTTCCATGAATTTTAGCTTTATGATATACCTGTGGGCTGGACACTAATAAATCTGGCAAGTGGAAGGCTGGTGAAAGCATCTGCCAAATTCTCATCTGTTAAAGAAATCGAGCCAAACTCTCCTGTTGGTTACTCTATGGCTTGCCCCTTCCTCCTCTCCGCTCCTTATTGACAGCATAGTGTGATTGGCAGCCTCACTGGTCATTAGGGAGCAATACATTATATATTTAAACTCGAAATAGCAGGTAAAAGCATTGGAAAATAAAGTACAATTCTTATTTGCATTGTTTTTCATTTCCATAAATAATTTTGTATTTGTTTGCAATGTGCCTTTTGAACGTGATAGAAAATTTGCTACTACAGGAAGAGTCAATTCACTGGCACAGCCCCTTAGTACCTTGCATGTCAGAGCCCTTTCCTTTTCTGGGACTGTCTAATCACTGTCTGTGCTGGCCCAGCAATTGTGTCCCTCCCTTCATATTCCTACATAAACGTTTATGTAGCTGCAGGGTGAGGCGTAAAGGGGAAGCTATAGAGTCTCTCTTGATTTACAGCTTTAACTCTGCTAAGACTGCTGACATACCATTCAGGATGGTGGAGCCCAGCAGCAGTCTCAGGACTTTTGGATGTCTACACAAGGAAGGCCTTTACAGATAAATAACACGCAATGAATATGATAAATGCACATATAATCTTATGGGAATATTTTCATTCAAATGAGTTGTTTAGCAGCAGATTTTTTAAACTCTACATTAAAAAAAAATGGTGCCCCCTTTAAAGTTATGAGAGAAATATAGGAGATGCCAATGCCCACCTTTTTTGCAGAAAAAGCTAGTTGCCTAGCTGTCTCTGGCTGCCATAATGACTCACAAAACCAGAACAACTGTTAAGCAAAAAGTCTGAAATCTAAGCTTGTCGCAGACCAGGGACTCGATTTTCCTGTAGCCAAACAGCTAGCCTCTTCAGAGGCAGAGGTGAGCTGTGGCAGCCACCATATTTCTCTCATTACAGGTTTTCTTTAAATATTGAGTGATCTAGTTCTAAGGATTTCAGCAGATACTGTGTTTTCCCTTTTCTCTTTCAATTCTCATCCTGTGAATCCTCTTCCAGCTTAGCGGGTCAGCTCTACCAGAATGGGGCTTCCGACAGCTGGAGGTGGTTGGAGACAAGGTAGCTAAGGGCTATCACCAAAGCCTGGTCTGGAATGTGGAGGAGCACCGATATGGCAAGAGTATGTCCTTGTTCTGTGTAATAATGATGTTGTTTTTTGTGATATTTATTCTCTGCTTTCCCTTCACTTGTTACTTCACTTGTTAAGGCCTCTTGATCTTGATCTCTGCAGGCCGGGAGCAGTCTGAGCGAGAGCAGGAACTTCACACTCCTCCACAGATGGATGTCGGGAGGAATCTGAGTTTTATGGCTCGGTTTTGGGAACTCCAGGTAACTCTTTATGTTCTTAATGGACCATGTGCCCTCATAGTGAATTGTGAACTCATAGAAGGAGCTCAGGTGGCAAGCGTTCCCTATACTAAACTGAAGAAGTAACCACCAGTTTAACATGGGCTTAAATCTTTCTTTCTTGTAAACAATGAACTGAGCGAGCACCTCTGGGAAACCGTATTATGTATCACTCACATCTTACCCACTTCTTTATGAACTCCATTTCTTTTGTTGCAAACATACAATGTTTCTGAGTTGTGCACCAGCTCCTTCATCCGGTATCAGTGTCAGTTGTGTCATGGTGAGAGCCTGATGAAGCATCTGGTGTAGAGCCCTGAAATGTCACTCTGTATTTTTTGTAAACAAAACAGAATTTAAATAGGGGTAGATGATGTGCTAGTGATACACAATACGTTCCAACAGTGACTTATCACTGCAACACTCAGAAAGAAAAGGTTTGAACACCTTGTGAAGTGCACCATATTGCCATATGCAACTGCCAAAAAGTTCAGATAATCCAACACTACAACTCATCGTCTGTGTTGTGGAATACCTTTACATTCACAATTAAATGTTTCAACTGTGTATATCTAGATAGAATAGGGTTCATTATTCTATGAAAAGTAAACCGGAACATCTTGCTAAAACTGGGTACCTAAATGTTGAATGCTAGGTTCAGGTGACATTGAAGTGTATGTAAAATGTAATAATGAACTTCTCTTGTTTCCTTTAACATGTTATTGAAAGTGATTTGTTATACCTGTTCAATAAATGCAAAAAATGAGAGAAGAGAGGGGCGCCGGATTAAGTGCAGCATTAGTAGTAGCAGTTTATTGGCATAAAAGACAATTGGCAACTCACAAGAACTATGAAAGGTTGAGGCATGTCACCCGTGATGTGATCCGAAGCAATCCTGGGAACCGGTGGAGGACAGGGGGAGTCCAAGCATCAGATTGGTGGCTGGAACGGATATCCTGGAGCGGCCAGCTGCTGCAAGGAAACCAGCGTGGAACACAAATGGCGCCAGGCACATTGGAACGTGATGACGTAAATGGGCAGTAACGAGTTTTGAAGCGGAGCTTCTTTCTCGGTCTGACGCTTGGATGACTCCTGTCCTCCACCGGCTCCCGAGATTGCTTTGGACCACGTCACGGGTGACACGCCTTAACCTTTCATACTTCTTGTAAGTTGCCAATTGTCTTTTATGCCAATAAATTGCTACTACTAATGCTCCACTTAGTCCGGTGCCCCTATCTTCTCTCTCTTTGCTTACGAGTCCAGCTTTACTCAACACTGATGCTGCTGTTCTTTGTCCATTGCCTTTGGGAAAACTCACAGCTTGTTCCCCCCTCCCCCTACCCTTTGGACTTTATTGATGGACTTCTTGGATTTTTGGACTTTTCAGTAGATCCATTATACCCCTCCAGCACCAAATGTTTACATATTGTATAAATCCAAAACATACCTGTAGATTATGCCAGAAAGTCTAGTGCTGTCATACACTTCCTGTGTTTTTCCAAGCAATGCTATCAGCTGTGCCCAGTTGCTTTCTGTGGACTGCAGAGCACTTCTGCAAAAAAACCCCCAAAAAACAAAAACCCTATGAAGCTTGTTTCATGCACTCTAGCATGGGAAAAAAAATCCTTGCTGATCCCCCAGAAGACTATCATATATTTCCTGGATCAACCATCTCCAGTGTTGTTACCTATAAATGTTAATATCCAGATATAGTTTGTGTATTTAGGAATGCATCCAACTCTTTTTTTTTTAAACAATCTACTGAGATGGCCAGAGCTAGTTTTTGAGGGAGTCAACTCCACATTTTCATACCTCCCAATTTTCTTTTTATATATATATATATATATATATATATATATATATATATAACAACTGTCTATTGAGATTTTGTACAAAACAATAGTACAAAAGAAAAAAAAACACACCTATGTTAAAAAAAAAAAAAAAAAAATCAACATTTGCAAGATACGTTCTGATAGTATATGATACAGCATGACAACAGGATAGATTGCAGATCAACAGATTGTGCCCACAGGCTAGATAAAGTACATCAAATGATATGCAAATCAAAGTCTAAGCTGCAAGCAATAAGGACATACACAGAGAAGGAGTATCGTAAAAATTCCACAGTTGTGCTCAAAAGTTTGCATACCCTGGCAGAAATTGTGAAATTTTGGCATTGGTATTGAAAATATGACTGATCATGCCAAAAAATCACCATATTGTACTCTTTAAAAACAACCACACCCATCTTTTTCCAGAGCAGCCTGTATTTCTTTTGAGGTTGCCTGTGGGTTTTTCTTTGAATCCCGGACAATTCTTCTGTCAGTTGTGGCTGCAATCTTTCTTGGTCTACCTGACCTTGGCTTGATATCAAGAGATCCCCAAACTTTCCACTTCTTAATAGGTGATTTAACAGTACTGATTGGCATATTCAAGGCTTTGGACATCTTTTTATGTCCTTGTCCACTTTTATAAAGGTCCATTACCTTGTTACGCAGGACTTTTGACAGTTCTTTTCTGATCCCCATGGCTCAGTATCTTGCCTAGTCAGTGCTTCCACATAAGAGCTAACAAAACTCATTGAGACTAATTTAAAAAGCCACAGATGTGGGACAATAACCTCTAATTGGCATTTTAACCCGTACCTTGTGATACTAAGGCCAAACATTCCAGCGGAGGGAAACTTTTGATCCGGGACTTTGGGTGATTTCAAACAACTATTTGATAATAACTGGCTTCATATGATCATCATCCTTCAATAAAAGAGCATTTTTTGGCATGATCAGTCATATTTTCAATATCAATTGCAAAATTTCACAATTTCTGCCAGGGTATGCCAACTTTTGAGCACAACTGCATCCTCCCATACAATGAGTACCATGCAGGACCACAGCCAGCAAACGGTGAGAAAAGGTAGGGAAAAGATAAAAAAAACTAAAATTAACAAGGCAAATAACAAGGAACTCTGATCACAATGGGGGCACACCTAATAACCATCCATCGGGGAGTAACCATCCCTGAAAGAACATGGGAGTAGAGGTGATGAGTACCTCAAAATCCATATCTAACCTAATAGACAAAAACATGATGGGCATGGCTGTAAAGTGTCAAGGTTATCATAGCAGGACCTAACACTACATAGAGCAGGGGTGGACAAACTTTTTGACTTGAGGGCCGCAATGGGTTCATATATTGGACCCGGGGGCCGGACCAAGAGTAGATGAATGATGTGTTTGTGTCATCCATAGTAAGTATAGTAATATTCCCCCATAGTAAGCATAGTAATTCATCCCCCATATAGTAATTCATCCCCCATATAGTAATTCATTCCCCCATATAAATTCATCCCCCATATAGTAATCCCCCATAGTCATCCCCCATATAGTAATTCATAATATATAATTCATCCCCCATATTAATTCATCCCTCATATAGTATTTCATCCCCCATAGTACTATTCCCCCCCAAGTAGTAAGCCAAGTCCCCCCTGTGTCAATTTACTTACCTTTGCTCCGCGCGTTCCTCTCGCCGTGTTCCCGCGCCGTTCCGGTCTTCAGGGCGGACTGTGAGAGGAGCCTAGCTCCCCTCACGTTCGTCACGCTGCCCCGCCTACACACATCCTGACAGCCAATGTTTGCCCGCGGGCCGTAGTTTGCCCATTGCTGACATAGAGGCTTAGAATTCAGACGGGGACCAAAATGTGGATATAGGGAGGGCACCATGGAATCCATTAGATATATAATTAAGCATCTGGGATCTCATAGGAGTAATACATCCACCCCGACCAAATATCACGAAAATGGTCACGACGGTTTTTAACACTGTGTACTCAGCATTCCGCTTTTATCTACTTTTCACTTCCAGTCAACCAATGTTGAGCAAGTGACCTTTTTCTAATACCTTAGAATCAAGCCCTTAGCATCATTCAACAAATAAGGAGTCACACTCTTCTTGTACCACTGGACAGAGAACGGTACATCATGAAATAGCCCCGCCAACAGCTAGACTCTGCCCTTGGGAATATCTGAGCAAGGCGAGAGGGTATTCTGTACCATTTAGTCAGAGGTTTACAAGAGGATTCCTGAGTACGAGTACTAATGGAGGAAACGTGGGCTAGATGCATAATTATCGCTCCCATTCCCTGATAAAATAGGGGGGTCTCTGAAAATAAGCCCCTAGCACCAACTTGTAGATGTCTAGATTTGAGGTCGGGTGACATAAAAAAAAGAAGGTAGTCTGCAAAAGCAGACAATTTGTGCGCTACAGACCCTATGCTGACTCTGGCTATATCCCGGTTACTACGAAGCCTAAGGGAGGGCTCCAGAACTAAGGCAAAAAGCAGCGGGGATAGTGGACACCCCTGTCCTGTCCCATTATGTATATGAAAAGGCTACAACAACAGCCCATTAACCTTCACCTTTTCCCTGGGGCCACTACATAGTGCCAGAATCCAGCCAAGCATCCTATTGCCCAACCCAAGAATACGCAACAGTTCTGTCAGATAAGTCCAATGGACCCTATCGATGTCCTTTTTGGCGTCCATCAATAATACGAGGGGTGCTCAAGTCAAACTGGGATTTAATTACCGTATATACTCGAGTATAAGCTGAGTTTTTCAGAACATTTTTTGTGCTGAAAAACGGCCCCCTCGGCTTATACGAGTCAACGTCTGCAGGGGGCTGCTGTCTCTTACCTGGCTCCGGTCCCACGACGATCCGGTCCAGGAAGCACGGCTGCTCCTTCATTCGGTTCGTCCACTGGATGTTCGCGCGGGCTGCTCGGCTCCGCCTTCTCACCGGTGATTGGCCGCCAGAACTGTAGCTCAGGAAAGGCACACAGGCGGCCAATCACCGGCGAGGAGGCGGAGCTGAGCGGCCCCCGCGAAAATCGAGTGAAGGAGATGCAGGTAAGTGTGCCGTGCTTAGGTGCTGCTGCAACCACATGCTGGCTGCAGCAGCACCATACTGGAACAGGGGTCA